AAGTTTTTCAGAAGAGATTGGACAGCCATTTGTCCGAAATGGTAGGGTCTGCTGCTTGAGCAGAGGGTTGGACTAGAAGACCTCCAAGGTCCCTTCCAACTCTGTTATTCTGTTATTCATGATTCCATTCCACAATTTTACAGAGGAGAGATTCCAAACAAAATAGTTAAACTTATAGAGTCATTTCTGTAAAATGACATATTGACATCCTTTTTCCTCTTCTCAAATCTGCCATTTATTGTTGTTTTTGGCAGTTGACAGAAAGCAATTCAAATGAAGACAATTTTTTTACATCACCAAAAGTTTATCCAGACAGATGGATCTACCTAAAGAGAAAAGGCAGATGCATTTCATTTGTAATATTTTCCATTCGTTCTGGACAAAGTGCCAAAAATATAAATTAAGACCCCTTTTTTTCTTAAACTGTTATTGTCGGTATACCTAATTTTACTACTGTTCAGCTATCGGTTACTCTTAGTTCTTTAGACTCCTCCTTATTCCCTTATTCTTTCGTCGTCACACTTATTCTCTGTTTCCCTCTCTTCATTTTACTAGTATTCAACTCTAGATGGACATACGTCTTACATCATCACTCCGGGCTTAACAAAAGCTTGGTATTTCTTAGGGCAGGGGTCCCCAACCCCTGGTCCATGGACCGGCACCGGGCTGGGGCATGCCAGCAAACGGTCCACGTAAATCTGCAAAGCCCCATCCGCTGGATGTATGTGGCACACAAAACCATGACCCCTTTGGTTCACAGAAAAACCTTTCTCCAAGGAATGGTCCCTGGTGCCCAAAAGTTTGGGGGCCACTGTCTTAGGATATTGCTAGCCCAGATTGAAGCTTTTTCTTAACCACCTGTTGACAAAGGTGTTGTTTCAAATAAATAAATACTTGATATTCTATGCACAGAATAACGTAGGCAGATGCACAGGCTGGATCTAAATCAATACATCAGAAGAGAGAGCATTGCACAGTAAATATTCTTTGCTCAACTGCCAGCAAAAGTTGGAAGGTCCCTTCCAACTTTATTATTATTATTATTTTATTATTATTATTATTATTATTATTATTATTATTATTATTATTATTATTATTATTATTATACATAAAACAACTCCTTTTTGTGTGTCTTGCATTTCTTCATTTAAGAAATCACCTAAGCAATAATATTTTACCCTCTTGATAATGCAAAAAAAGACTGCTCCTTTTACAGAAATAGCTCTTCTCTGTACTCTTTCTAGAGTCTCAAAGCCCACTTAATAATAATAATAAAGTTGGAAGGGACCTTGGAGGTCATCGAGTCCAACCCCCTGCTCAGGCAGGAAACCCTACAACATTTCAGACAAATGGCTGTCCAGTCTCTTCTTAAAAACTTCCAGTGTTGGAGCATTCACCGCTTCTGGAGGCAGGTTGCTCCACTGGTTAATTGTTCTAACTGTCAGGAAGTTTCTCCTTAGTTCTAGGTTGCTTCTCTCCTTGATCAGTTTCCACCCGTTGCTCCTTGTCCTGCCTTCAGGCACTTTGCAGAATAGCTTGACTCCCTCTTCTTTGTGGCAGCCCCTGAGATATTGGAACTCTGCTATCATGTCCCCCCTCGTCCTTCTCTTCATTAAACTAGACATACCCAATTCCAGCAGCCGTTCCTTATATGCTTTAGCCTCCAGTCCCCTAATCATCTTTGTGGCTCTTCTCTGTACTCTTTCTAGAGTCTCAGCATCTTTTTTACATCGTGGTGACCAAAACTGGATGCAGTATTCCAAGTGTGGCCTTACCAAGGCATTGTAAAGTGGTATTAATACTTCACGTGATCTTGATTCTATCCCTCTGTTAATGCAGCCTAGCACTGTGTTGGCTTTTGTGGCAGCTGCAGCAGACGGCTGGCTCATATTTAAGTGATTGTCCACTAGGACTCCGAGATCCCTCTCACAGTTACTACTATTGAGCAAGGTACCTTAACGAATGTTTCACTTTAGCAACAGAAATGTTGGGCTCAGTTGTGATCATAAGTCAAGGACTACCTGTAGTCTGATAGTTTTAGTCACTGTGGGAATCACACCAGTTCATTCATTATTTTAGGTGGTCCCGGCACCATAAAGCAAGAACCCCTGTTTTAAGCAGGAGTGGAATTTATCCCATCTAAATATATATTTCAACTTAGCCCATCCGGCACTTGGTTCTGTATAGTTTTAGGAGGAAAAATAAAAACGCTTGGAGAACAGCACAACGCTT